GGAAAAGGATTGTCTACAAGTCTTGTCTGCGCGCAGGCACAGCATTCCTACGTTCAGCCGCCATTTCGGTCGATTTTTCGCACCTCGCTCTCCCAGGTGGTCTTGGCGAAACACTACGCGGAGCGTCAAGTCCGGCCGCCTCAATCGAGCCAGGCGTCTGAGCAAGCGCCTTGCTGACGCCATAAAAGTAGCAACACGCCATTGGTCGGACGGTGGCGGCAAGATCCTTAGACTCGCTACAGAGCTGCTCAACACGCGACTCAGAAGCTATAGTCTGACGCCTACGCGCTGAGCTGAGACCTGAGCAGCGCAGTCAAGTCTCTCTTCCTTCTTCGACGGAGCCGCTGCAACGACAAGTTGACGGAGGAAAAGCTTCTTGTGATCCCGGCCCGCAGCTTCCGGCCCGTTTCTGCTATCAAATCACATCGATCCCGTCTTCTGGTAACCTCGAATCCACTCTCTATACTGTGACGCAAGCAATCGCACCGATAACGAAGTCCTGATCGCATCCTAGGCCCTGCATCAGCCCGTCAGCCAGTCGGTCGGTGGGTCGCTTGCCACCTCTTGACATCGAGCACACTCCCCATAAGCGCAGCCACACACCGCGTTTCAAAGGCGTCAAAGTCGTGCGAGAATCACCGTTGCGCAAAGTGTTCCACTCAACACTTCTTCGCATCGCTTCATTGAGCAACATTCACATCGATCTCTCACCAGGGCTCGCTGTCTCCCTCAGTGCCCAGCGATTTGCTTGCAGGCGAGCGCTTGATTGCACAAGCCAAGCAAATGATATCTCCCAATTAACTCAACACGATCTCCACCGCACCATCAGCGATTGGTCGACCAGAACGGCCGCGGAAAGTGGCAAAGTCAGCACCCTATTTGGGCAGTATATACATTTATCGATTGAGAGACAATTTTCCTCAGATTGCCGAAAGGTGAGAAGCAAGACTTGGCCGTCCCGCGCCTTGCGCCACCGAATGAGCACATAGCGCCTTTCCGCGGTCAGAGACCTCTCTTTTCAATGAAGTCACAGACTCATCGCAGCCTCGTACGGTAACAGGTGCTGACGCCTCGCCTGTTCCGCAGTCATCATCACCAGCACTATCGCTCCGACGCCGCCGCGATCTGCACTCCCTCGCCGGCTCAGGCACCTGAGCTGAAGAAGCCCCGCTGATCTACTTACCTTGGCTCACTTGCGCGCTCGTCATTCCCCTGCAACCTCCAGCCGGCCGAGGGCTGGGCGTTGCCACTGCGAGACGGGACCAAGTCATTGCGATTGCTATCAAGGCGCTGACAAGCCGGCAGGATCACACAAGCAACTTCACTCGAGCCCAGCTGCTGCTGCATCGACGCCACTGCTGAGTGTGTCCTGCCGTACGTACGTGATTCAGTGAAGGCACACTGCAAGATCGCAAAATTTTGGCCAGTTGGCGTGGTACGGCGGTGAGTTTTGCATTCACGATTGCCGAACACATTCCGCGGTCTCTCTTGGATCATGTGCACGACCACGCAAAACCAAGGTTGCGTATAGTGGTGCTATAGCTACTGGCTGTCTCAATCAATCGGTGCGGACGCGGCAACCACCGCTCAGGATCACTCAGCTGAGGTGCCTGCATGCTCAGCCGTTGTGCGAGCCAGCTCAATTCTGCTTCAGCCTCGATCCTTGTGGCTGCTCTCTGCCGCGCGCGAGCACACAGCGTGCCTCATCGCGGAAGGCGTTACTCGGTGGCCTCAATTCTTTGAGCCACGTCCGCGGGCGGCGAGACCTTGCCGGCTTGCTATACAGCTGCTGGCTGAGACGGCAGTGACAACAGTCTTCGCCTACATGGTTGATTCACCTGACTGGCGCGCTGCTGTAACGAGGCGTTGTCGACGGTGCCGGGCTAGCAAGGTAAGACTTCGTCGCGAGTGTATGTCAGCAAGGAAGAATGCTCGCTCGCGCGCAGTGGCGGCGAGAAGGCGTTTCGCGGTCGCAGTGACTTGCGATGTGCCTCTCTCTCTATCCGGCGTTTGCTCGCCCAGAAGGCACGCGCCACGCTGCTGGCATCTGCCCTCGTATTCCGTATCGGTCCTCGCTTCGTTCCCGTATCCAAGTTGGGGGCTCTTGACTTGCGAGACGGTGACTGGCTGCATGTGGCGACACAGGAAGACTGAAGCTGACCTCTTGCTGTCCGCCTTCACCCTCGCACCCACCCCTTTTTCTCTCAGCTCGCTCGCCGCGTGTCCGCACTCCCGCAGACGTTTGCCGCTCGAGCGACTTTTCTCTGCCTGCCTTTCCACTCTCGCCACGGCCCTCACCAGCACTCATCAACGTATTAGAGCGCCTCTCATCGACGGAAACCTGCCCCACATTGAAACCGGTGCCCTCTTACCCTTTATTCCTCCTTTGGTGTGCAACAAAGCATTCTCTCGAACTACGGCGCCGCACTCATTGATCTTCACCACACTGTGGATTGTGGGACCATTGCCCTCTCCACTACTTGGCAACGGTCAATTTGTTGCGCAATCGCTTCCCTCTTTGCTTGTGAGTGAGTGCTCAGACTACCAGGTACCAGCGTTCGCCCCTCTCCTTCATCTTTAATCTGCGCGAACTTCACCGTATCGAGACCACAGATTGCCCCGGCCTGCTTGTACTACATGCTCCGTTGACTCTTGACAAATTCTCGCCTCGCTCGGCCCCTCTCGCTCTGTTCACCTTGCTTCACACTAGCTCACCACTTGCTTTTCGCCCCCCATAGACGCAAGCCAGCCGCTGAAGTCTCAAGCGACAGCTCTCTTGGTACGCAATCGAGTTTTTGGGCGAGGAATCACCTTTCGACTTTGAGATACAATCCAATCCGCTGTTAGCGTGACAGATCATGTTCGCTTTGACTTCGAGCGCACCATTCGTCCATCAACATCAACCGCCTCAACACCACCAAAGCACCTACCAACAGACAAAGCTCCCTGCATTGGCTAGCAGCGTTTCTTTTGGAGGAGCTAGCGGGGCTGAAGCACGCTCGCTACCGCCGCCTCCCTTGGCGCTGGGTACAGCCTCATCAGGTGCTACTCAGTCCGGTGTCCTGCCTTCCCCGGCCGCTCACTTTTACAGCCATCATTACGGTACTAGCACCACGTCTATGACCTCGCCTGCAGCCGGTCAAGACACTCATTCCACAGGCATCGAAGCTGAATCGCTCGAATCCGCAAAGCGCGCCAACCCGGTCATATTAGAGACGGGCAACGCAACGGCTGACGGGAGCTGTCGTTCTGCGCCAGCAACATCGTCAAACTTTTCTGGAAGTGCCCTTGAAAACAACGGCGCAGGCGAAGCGACCACGATTGACAGCCTTTCGGATGCTCAACGGCCCATCGCAAGTGCCATACCTGCGTCACCTTCTATCTTACCTTCTATGTCTGATAGACTCGAACGTCTTGGCAGCACCAACGATCAGAGCAGCAACGTAGAAACGGGCTCCAGTAGCGCTTCGGGAGACAACGCAGCTTGGACCCGTGGCACCGCAACGGCAGGTCTTCAAACAAACTCCAATCCTGCCGCAATGTCGTCGAGCTCTTACAACGGCAGTGCTGCTGGCAACATTGCGCCCAGTGGTCTCACTAGTTCTCTTGGCGGACCACATGCAAATCAACCTGGCGCCACTCGCCTTTCGGGAGATTCAGGACGATTCGCATTTTATCCTAGCGATTCGAGCAGCTCGGGGCATCCGCGCGACACTCATCATTCGGGCTCGTCCTCCAGCGCCTGGGATCACACGCAATCCACCACTCCAATTACTCCCTACGGCCCTCCTCCGCCGCACAGCGCTCACAGCGGTGTTGACACCAACACACCGTCGACTGCTACAACCGGTGGTCCGTACGCGCAGCAACGCGGCAGTGTCAGCTACTACCAACCTGCAGGTAGCATCGCTCAGCAAGCGCACCAGAACTTCGCCTCTGACAGGGCCACGAGTCCCTCTCACCCTCTGTGGGCAGCCAGCGAGCCAAACTCTCCAAATGTGCCTCAAACTACGTCTGCGCCCTCGACGTCTCATGGATATCCTCAAGGCCAACCTCGAGGTATGCCTATGAGCTACGGTGCGCGACCGCCATACGGTCAAAGTGTTGCCCGAATCTCCACGCCCACTTACGCTTCGATGGCTACTGGCGCAGGTAATGGAGTCGGCGGCGGCGGCGGTCCCTTCACCGCAGGTCCTGCAGGCCCAGTTCCCTCGTACATGGGCGGCTCTGCCGGTCTGTATCACAGTGCGGACAATGGACACGGCCAGATGCTAAGTGGTCCTCAGCGCGCGTACATGTCACAGCAGGGCGTACCTCAGTCTGGCCATCAAGGATACAATTCGCAACACTTTGCCAGCGCATACGGTCACAGTGCGCCCTTTTCATCTAGTGGCTATCCTGGTCAGCCGGGAATGGTGGGCATGCAGGGCGCGCATGCGCCTCACAGCGCACCGCTGCCGTCGGATCCCATCATTCAAGATTCTTACGGCAACACTGTCGAGTTCAGAACGCACTACTTTAACCCTTTCGAGGTCAAGCACCGTCGTCGTACCACCAAGGCGCAATTCAAGGTTCTTGAAGGGACATTCAAGGGTGTGTTTCCCATCTGCAGAATGGATTGCTTGAACGCTGGCTCGGCTGACAAATCCATGCTTCCTTGACGCCGTTTGTAGAGACGCCTAAGCCGACGGCTGCAGTTCGCAAGCACATTGCAGAAGAGCTTGGCATGCCGACGAGAGCTGTGCAGATCTGGTTCCAGAACCGAAGGGCCAAAGCCAAAGCTTCGGCCAAGAAGGATCAAGACAAGACCAAGAAAGAAGGTGCGGCAAGCTCGGACGTCAAACCTGGGCAGGGTGGGGATGGAAGTGGTGCTTCG